GCAGCGGCCATAAATAGGTCAGTGTTCTTTTTTCAAAGAGCGTCTTTTTATATCATCCCGTTCCTTCAGGCAGAAGCTTACCCATGGATACCAGTGACAACACTGCTGGATGCTATTCAGAGACGCAGCTCTGAAGATCTCTTTGTGGCTTTCAGGCTTTAATGGAGGTATATGTAACTGAAGCTGCATTTCTTGTGCATGACCAGCCTCACAGCTGGTTGAATCAGACCATCGCCCTCCGTGCCTATGAGGTATTTTCCACAGAAAGCTTTAAACATGAAGCAGGGTTGCACGCAGAAAATGCATTCTCTATGTTTTGACGGACAGTGCGCTACTATTCAACAATATTTGTAGTACCAGAAGTCCATTTTCTCATCTGTTTTGTTTCAGGCTGGAACAGGCTGTGCAGGATTCTGGTGCTGCCCGGACGCACAGCATGTTAAAACTGTCAGATCTCTGCCTGACTGACCCCCCATGTCTCCTCCTCCCCCCCTCCCCTCTCCCTCTCTCTGTCTGTCCCTGGCAGTACAAACAAGTGGAGCAGTACATGTCCTTCCACAAGCTGCCCGCGGACTTCCGGCAGAAGATCCACGACTACTATGAGCACAGATACCAGGGCAAGATGTTTGATGAGGAGAGCATTCTGGGAGAGCTGAACGAGCCGCTCCGCGAGGTGAGACAGGAGCTGGCCAGGCTGAGCTGGTTACAAGCACGTCTGCTGTTTGGCCTATACTTAGCTCTGATTTACATTGCTCTGACCAGGACCTCCCACAGTGTTGCATAAAGACTATGACAACACCCTGCATCTGCAACAGGATTGTGGGGCCAGCAGGAGATCCAGTTCCTGCTGGAAAGCGGAGAAGATGCCAACTTGGTTGTTCCTGGTTCAGACCATGGCTGTGTCGCTGACACAGAATCTCTGGGCCTCCGAATCTCCGTGTTCACCATCCATCACACAGGATATCAAACATGAAGTTCAGTGCATGCCTGCCTGAGTCAGTGACTCTGCTCCACTGGCTATTGATGCTACAGCCCTTCTCCTGCGACTGCAAGTCCTATTGGACAAAATCGTGAATTATTTGTAATGCGCAGCGGGGACACGGGCATCAGAAACATGTTCTGATACTGTTGAATTGGAGACAAAGTGCAGGGGAGAAAGAGGTTGTAGGGGATTTGCAAACAGTTACAGTTTGGCTCTGCTGGCAGTGGCAGTGAGGTGAGCTGATTAGGGATTGGTGACTGCAAGCGTGGAGGAGGGTAGCCGGTTGATTTGCCAAAGCAAACACAGGGAAGCAGGCTCAGGGGGGCGTGTCCTTCCTCTCTTCCCAGGAAATTGTCAATTTCAACTGCCGGAAACTGGTGGCGTCCATGCCCCTCTTCGCCAACGCCGACCCCAACTTCGTCACGGCCATGCTGACCAAGCTGCGCTTCGAGGTCTTCCAGCCGGGCGACTACATCATCCGCGAGGGCACCATCGGCAAGAAGATGTACTTCATCCAGCACGGCGTGGTGAGCGTGCTGACCAAGGGCAACATGGGCATGAAGCTTTCGGACGGCTCCTACTTCGGAGGTACGGCTCTTGGCTCTTCACCGCACGCTTCGGCAGCGAGGGGTGCAGACGGCGCCCCCTGCTTTTCCCATTATAGCTCTGCAGGGGAACGAAGGAGTCAGTGTGGGTGGCTGCTCCACCTCTTTTCTTCTCAAGGACGGCTAGAACTGGCTATGTTGCTCAGCACTGGTTATTTCCCTGGCCTGGAGTTTTGGTCTCTCTTTCCCCTGTGCCTATTATTTTTACCCATGTTCCTGTTTAAGTTCTTTCTATCCATTTATCTCTTAAATAATAGGGGGCTAGTACAGCATTCAGCAAGAAGCGGTGAGGCAGTAAGGCCAACGCGAATGCTGTTAGACCTCAGTCAATTAATAATACCCAATTAGCTGGGCATTGTAATTTACACTAATATGAATTCTTCCCCAACACTAATGTGCTTGAAAGCAGTTGTTAAATAACTGAGCTACCTCGCACATGCTGATTGGTGTTTAGATCCCTATCTCAAGAGTGCAATTGAAGCCACATCGTGGTTCAAAGCCTTGCTTTTGCTTGTCATGAAGACACATACGGGTGCCATTTTGATCAGGACCGAAATGCATCGAAATCTGAGCAAAGATTGCTTGGACTGTGTTAGCCGAGAAGATGTAAGGCATTTTCTGGGGCTCAGTATATTGAAGGCTCTCGGACACATTTTCTGCATCTCGCAGGTGCAATAAGCTGCAATATTCCTGTTTCAGAAGTGTACGGTGGTTCACTATGGAGGATGACATTTTCTGATTGGCTGAGTCTTTGTGCAAATAACCCCTCCAGGTGTGCTTGTGAGGCAGGAAGGCAACAGTGGCTTTGGGATGAACTCCTTCCAGATTGCCTTTGTCTCCGAGTCGGAAACACCCACATCCTCTAGCCCAGTGTTCCACACGCACGATCCGAGAGGAGAAAAAGAACACGCCTGCGCTGGGATTCAAGGTTACAGCGCGATTGTCCTCTGCAAGGACAAACATTTTGTGAATGCAAGGAGCTGGCCCGCATGTGCAGTCCCTTCAGTAAAAGGGAGTTCATTTCTGAAGAAAAAAAATTTATGACTGCATTTGAAATGACTCTTAACAGTTTGAGAACATGGAAGGGATGAGAATTTTATCCTGGTTTTCTGGTATAATATTGCTTCTGTGGTTTGGTGGCATAATGATGCACTATTCTAATATATATATATACTGTATACCACTTAACCCCTGGTTTCCAGTAGTGCTCTGTCAAATATGGTGAAAGAGGTTATCCAAAGGGTGTGCAACCTGAATGTTCAAAGATGGAAGCAGAGGTGCAGTTTGTATAGTCTGTAGTTGTGAAGTCTTCGCTTTAGCAGAGGGATCTCTACGATGCAGCTCCTATACCAATTTCTGTTGCATTAAGCAGCCTAACAGTGTGTGAGTCCTCTGCAGATGAGATGCTAGTTCATCACAAGTTACCCCCAGCAGAGCTCATACCTGTTCATACTGGTGAGTGCGCTGTCTTTAGAGGGGAATTGAACCCACAACCTTTCAGGGAACCCAGAACCCTAGCCACTACACTACACTGCTCCTATGCTAATATAAAGGGGGTTTATTAATCTACTGATACATCAAAGCCAGAAGCTTTTCTGGGGCAGTCTGTGTGGACTGATGCAAGAGTCTGGTCCTCATTTGTTCGCCTTCTAGACTGGCGAGTGGTTCTGCATAGGAGGACACTGGTGCAGGGAGTAGTTCAGCGCTCAGTGGAAAATGATCAAGAGGCCTTGCGTCTCCTATCCCCCTTGGGAGATATCTGAGACTGTCTAGATCTTGATACCGAATTGATTTTCGCTGTAGCTGCTCTCTCTCTGAAAGAATGAAATTCCATTCTGGGGTGACTGGGATTCATCAAACCTGGCCAACAATGTGAGCAGCTTGTTCATTATTCATCCGCCCTGCTTAGCAGGTGGACATGGTGGCCACTTTTTCGCATCCAGACCGAGCTTCCTTTTCGCTCTTCCAAGGAAACATGAAGTCATGTTCGCGATAACAGGAGTTGGCGGGGTCAAGTGGCTGGTCCGAGTTTCCTTGGATGCGATCGGAGCAGTTCCTGACCCACAGGCCACTACAAGACTGGCCGAGTGCTGTTAGAAAGGAAGCCACTCTAAACGTTAGGATGTCCGATAAGGGGGGGAGTTGGACTTAGAGGTGTTCAGTCAGAATCCCACAGATGCACCATGGGCTCCTCAAATCAAAAGAGGTTTTGGTTACAGCCAAGAGGACCATTTGGTTAATCTTGGCTTTTTGGCAGGGAAGTATCTGATTCAGCCAAGGATTTCAATGTTATGGCTGGGTAGGTTGTCCCAGACTCCCAAAACACTTGCACACGCTGTCTCAGCTCTGCTGCCTCCCCTCCTGGGCACAGAGCAATAGGACGCCCGTCTCAAAGGGTTGTTCTCTCCCGTCGCGAAACTCCAGACTAACGCCTTTCCCATCTCCTCTTCCGCCCGCCCAGAGATCTGCCTGCTGACCCGGGGGCGCCGCACGGCCAGCGTGAGGGCCGACACCTACTGCCGCCTGTACTCGCTGTCCGTGGACAACTTCAACGAGGTTCTGGAGGAGTACCCCATGATGAGGAGGGCCTTCGAGACCGTGGCCATCGACCGGCTGGACCGCATAGGTATGCCGACCGCTGGGCTGCTTTTGGGGGCTCTGTTGGCGGGACACCCCAGCGCCGGGTAGAGAGCCAATCTCTGGCTACTCTTTCCAGCCTCATCGGCAATGTGTCAGCATCCCAACACGTGACCTTTCCTTACTTAAAAGCTCAGAGACGGCTGAGCTCTGATATTTCTTACGGGACCTGCAATGTGAACTGTTGCATACAGAAGAGCACTTCTCCACTGTGTGGCGCGATTTTGCGAAACTGGAGTTTTGAAACGAACTGAGCCGGCGCTAGCAGAGAGACCAAGGCAGGCCAAAGTCGAAACGGGAGCTCGCAAGGAAGACCAGAAGCTTGCGGAGGGGAGTAACTGTGGCTCAGGATCTGCGCCTGTTTCTGGAGGGTTGCTGGTTCAAATCCCGCGGCCGGCAGAGGAATCCTACTCCGTTGGGCCCTTGAGCAAGGCCCTTCACCCCAGCTGCTCCAGGGGCGCCGTATTAATGGCTGACCCTGCGCTCTGACCCCAAGCGCCTCTCCCTGTCTGTGTGTCTCATGGAGAGCAAGCTGGGGTATTCCTAATACAAGAAATTGTAAATGGCCAATAAAGTGATCTGATCTTAAGCAAGCCGATTCTGGGGACGAAGGACGGACTCTGACCATGTTGCCTCAGTCTGTGCACTAGTGAAATATAACTGGATCTTTCCATTTGGAAGGCCGGAAAGTGGTTTAATTTCTGTCTATGACGTCGACCTCTTTATAGTGGCTGATCCAGTATCTTCTGCCTAGACTGCAGTAACACGCCCCCCCCCCAAACACACACACAAACCTCTTCTCTCTCCCCAGTACTAATAATTCCAAGGCTGGGACGTCTCGTCTTTCCACCAGATGTTTCATAAAAGTCACTCCACCAGTCTCCTCGTTCCCAGGCCTGTTGCTGCTATGACGTCATGAAGCATTTGAAGACGTTAATAAAGATTTTGCTCTTTATTAAAAGCTGGTCGAGGAAGATAATTGGGTGGAAACGCGGCTATATAACTGAATATTTCACTGGCCCGTTTTATAAATTGAGCTTGCTGCACAGAGCTCCCGTCTCTCTGTTTGCAGTGTCGACTTTCAGCTTGTGTGACCGCATCCCAGTCAGGATCGCACTGGGCACACAGACGGCGTCTTCGACTTCGTCACTGGAGCGCAGCCCCTGTCTGTCACACGGGGGACAATTACTGCCCACTCCGCCTAAAAAATAAAAACACAGCCGTTCGCTGCTGTCGTGAGAGAGAGATGCTGCATTTTTTTGCTCCCTGCAAATAACGGAGTGCTATACAGGACAGGATCTGATGTGAACCCAGGTGACCCAAGGCCTAAGACAGATCAACGCTGATAATTCACCACCAGCAGCTCACCCTGAAATGTGCATCAGCAGTTTCTTCCAGCAGCAGGGAGAAGACCGCTCCTCCATCATTGAGTGCATTTTTCCACCTTAGCTGAGTTACCTGGTTTTCTTATCATGCAACTGCTACAGCTCTTTTAAATTAGTTCCACCCAAACACTGCTTTAGAAAACAGTGAGAACTCTCCAGCCAGCCTGGAGATTTCTGCCCATCAATAGGTTAATGAACGGGGTCATTGTAACAGGCAGATGCTGGTTTTACTTCTCCATTAACCCTGGGCAGTGTTTTGTGCAATGAGAGTATTGAACTGTCATCAGTGAAGGACTGCCGGTTTTCAGGACACCCTTCGAGTCCAATCAGTGAGCTGAGATGGACTCTGTGTGAGCCTGTGAGGTTTTATTTTATTTCAATCTACCATACTCTGTTAAAAACCAGTCAAAAAAAACAAGTCTTCCTCGCCTCCAGCTACTGTGTGCAGTTATTATGCAGCAGGCACTTATATGAACAATACATTTCTGGAACCTTTTTTCACATGGAAAATTTAGGATCAGCACAGAGCTGAAGCAGAAGGCGATAGCTCTAACATACTGTACATACATGCAGAGCTCCCTAGTTTTCTTACAGCTCTTCTGTGCCAAAGTCAGACCAGGTGCTGTGGTGTTTGTGTCTCCTCTCTTTTGTGCTTGGTCTTGCATTGCACCTTATTTCTAAGTCCAGTTACCTAGTTAATTTTTTTTTCGCCAGATATAGGGGAGGGATAGACAAGTCTAGGGAGGACTGGACCAGCAGTCTCCTGTGTGATAGCAATTCTGTCTGCAGCTTTGGACTGCATGAAGGAAGGAACTCGAGCTCAGGCTGCTGCTTTTCTCTCAGTACAGAACTGTGTGTTTGCCGTGATCTGTGACAGCCAGCCCTGCTAGCAGGCCAGCTCCCACTTTTGACCTCCATTATGTCAGACCTAAAGCAACGAAGACTGAAGGACCTGTCCCTCAGGGGGCACGACAGACACAGCCAGGGGAGAAGATAATTGGGATGTCAGTAAACTGTAGCAGCCTGCTGTCTTCTCCTTCAGATAAACAAACATTCACTCTTTTCTGTAAGGCAGGGTCACTGTCCCCATCCTCTGTGTAGGGCCCAATTACAAAATGGGATTTTAATTACAGTTGACGGCTAAGTCGCACATTAACTTAATAGCAATGTAATGTGTCCCTCCTGGACGGGACAAGCCTGTAAGAAGCTCTTGTCACCTGCCAGCCTATCAGCTCTTTAAGTGCAGAAATGAGAGCTGATGGAAGAGGACGATGTCAGCTTCAGCCATAATGGTGCAGGTTATCAGCTCCTTACCTACACAGCTGCACACACAGCCAGAGAGAGGTGCCTTCGGGTTGTCGCAGTGTTCCTGGTGACGGTTTGTATTGAAAGTTTTCCTCCCCCCCCCCCTTCCAGGGAAGAAGAACTCCATCCTGATGCACAAGGTCCAACACGACCTCAACTCGGGCGTCTTCAACAACCGCGAGAACGAGATCATCCAGGAGATTGTCAAGTACGACCGCGAGATGGCGCAGCAGGTGGACCTGCAGCGGCCCCGGGCCATGTCGATGACCCCGCCGCTCCACGGGGGCCTGTTCGCCCCGCCCGGCCAGCCTCCGGTCAGCTCCGCCATCGCCACCCTGCAGCAGGCGGTGGCCATGAGCTTCTGCCCTCAGATGGCCAGCCCCCTGGTGGGCTCGGTGGCCCTGCAGTCCCCCCGGATGGTGCGCCGCTTCCAGGTGGTGCAGAGCCTGTCCAGCCCCGTGTCCATGTCCCCCCTGCAGCCCCAGCCCCCGCCCCAGCCCCCCCAGATGTCCAGCGGGGCCTTTGCTTCGGCCATCTCCAGCCCCCCAGTTCAGAGCCCCCTGGCGGCGGCGGGGCGGACTTTCCAGTATAGCTCCAGCCCTGGGGGGGGCACCCAGTCCGGCTCCCAGCTCTCTCTGGTCCAGCAGCGAGCCCCCAGCCCCCCGCAGCGCCCCGCCGCCCACAAAAGCACCCACTCCTTGCACGCCGGCAGCCTGAGCCAAGACGCCCGGCCGCTCTCCGCCTCCCAGCCCTCCCTCCCCCATGACGGGGCGCCGCCGGCCGCCCCCAGCCCCCCCCAGTCCACCCGCGTCTCCTCCACCTCCATAGGGCCCCCCCAGACCCACCCCGGCACCCCGGTGTCCTCGGGGTACAGGGGTCCGGGGCCCCAGCGGGTCGTGCTGCCCCATCAGATGTCCGTGGCGTCCTACCCGCCCACGCCCCCCTCTGGCGCCGCGCCAGGGATGGGAGCAGGCACCGCGCCGGCGCCAGGGGACTCGGGAACGCCCAAGAAAGATTCGGTAGTCAGCCTCCCCGATACGGACCTGGCCAAATCTAGGCTATCTTCCAATTTGTGACCTGGACCGTGGGATCGGCGTGGGGGGTCTTTCGTTTCTTGAGCTCAAAATGGGTCTTGCCCCCTCCCCACCAACCCTCCTCCCCTTATTCCCCCACCCCCCTCCCCGAATCCGAAAATCCACCAAATGTTTGTCGGGCGAGGGCCGAAAAGGAACGCCCAAGACGTGTGTGTTTAAGGATCTGAAGTCTGTACAAATCTACTGACCAATTTTAAAAACTGATGGGATGTTTCTACTCTGCCCACAAGCGTAGATGCGTAACGGTAGTCTCTCCCCACGTCCTGTCTCTGATTCCACCTCTTTTTCTGCTTTCTTTCCTGTAAAGTGTATTCAGACACATAAATATTGTATCGGTTAAATACTGTACAGAATCCAAACAATGCAACCTACCACGAGCTGGACACAAGGGTAATCAGGGACCTGCTACTGGCGACAGTGGTGTTGTTCGACGCTTCACAGAGTGGTGTCAGTGTCTCCTCTCTCCCTGTTTCAACGAGCTAATTAACTTGGTGTTTCTGCTCATGGTTATCTCCTGGCATTCGTTTTGGAAAAAACAAAAAAACAAAAGAAAAAAAAAAAGAGCTGATAGTGTTTTAGACCGCTGGTCGATCTTCAATCGATAGGTTACAAAAAAAAAAAGGGAAATGTGTTGTTTTTTTTTTGGCAATTGAATCTTCGTTGTATATTCTCAAGACCAAAGTTAAGCTTGAACACTGTTTGGGATGTCTGTCATCTTAAAGAAACTACGACGGCGACGACGAAAAATGCCATTTATTTAACTGCCTTGATTCTGACTTTAGAAGCCATATTCTTAGTTTTATGTATGTGTGTGTGTGTGTGTGTGTTGCTTCGTTCTGTCATGTTACAAGAGTGGCGATTTTGTAGGTTCGTCAGGCCTGGTCTCAACTCCCCCTCTCCTCCCTCCTTCTGCTTTCCTTTCCAAATGCTGGTGCTGAGTTGGCTCTGTCTGTTCTCCCAGCCCGGAGAGTGCTGCCTAGCGGCTGTCAGCGGGTTGTCCTGGCAGTGGGGGAAAAGTCGAATGTCAGGAGAGTCAGAGAGCATTAAACTACCGGTCATCCATAATGCCCAAGAAAAAAAAAATCGCTTCACGAGGATCTTAAACTGCCAAACAAAATGTCCCCCACTCATCGGCTTTTCAGTAAGGGATCTATTGGAAATGCTCCCTTTTAAAATACACAGTTCAGCATTTACCACAAAATGGAGTTTATAATGAAAGTTTGGGAGGGATGACAACAGCCTAGTTCAGTCAGACTTGGCTGTCAGTCATTCACAATCAATTCTGTTGTCACTTCCTCTCCTAAAACACTAAATACTGTACGTGATCCCGTTCTCTCCCTCCCACACATCTTTTTACATCCCTCCTCCACCCCATCAGCACCTCTGCAGCTGCCCCTTGGTCACCCCTCACTCTGCAGGGAGGTGGGGGGTCTCTCTGCCTCCTCATCCTCTGGGCAGGAGGTCGGCCCACAGCCAAGTGGCTTCAGCCAAAATTTGGATTAACCATGATCTTTTCAGTACATCTAATTCTTGGGTGGTGTTATTCGTAGTGAAAAGATGCAATCATATTAATGCCAAAATTCAATATTTTAAGTCTGCACGCATGCAGACATGCATTTGTATATATGTACAGAACCGATGAATGAGCAAGCCCAGTCAAACCCGCTACAGGAAGAAAAACTCCTTACTTAGGAAACGGATCAAGTCTCACCATGCTGAACAGGGCTGATGGGAATGGATATCTGTGCCTAACATACCGATCAGCTTAGGAAGGTCTGCGATTTACAGATACAACTAGTAGATCTGACAGCCAGTTGGAACAGCAGCTGGTAGCCACTTTATTCCCACTGGCACGTTTGACTTGACTGTCCAGATGTTGCCCCCGCGACCAAAACGAGCCCACGGTCACTGGATCTCCGGAGGCGTAGTCCACAGATCCTTCCTGCAAACACAGTGGGATCTGCGTCACTCGGACACGTCCAGAGTAACCCTATGCGTGTGCATGTGCCTGTCCTTTGGCTGGTGTATCCTGCAAGGTTTAGACATTTGAATTCCCAAATTTGCAAGGAGTCTTTCCAGCATCGACATCATTCCAAAGTTGACTGTGATGCCCAGGTATTCCCTGGCGGCAGTAGCAGCACATTTCCTGAGTGGAAAGCAATCTTCTCCAAGAATAGTTTCCCATTTTCGAACCTCTCCCAAGTCCCCTGGTGATTAACGGAGAATTGCAGAGTACAGTTCTGCCCAAGGCAGGACAGCTTCAATCCTAGGGTCAAATGCTTATGAAGGTCTCCATGGCTAGGAGTAGGATTCAACATCCCTTCGTGACCCACTCCTGCAAGCAATACACACATGAGCAGTGCTGTCAGCAGCTGAGGAATGAGTACCTGACTCAGTCTGGTTCCTGTTCTAAGAAGCAGACCGCAAAATGAGCTCATCCCAAGGTGCTAGTTGCAGTTCTTCAGAAAGTTCTTTTTATTTGCAGCTTTCTTCAATAGGGCCAGCACTTATTTTCAGCCACTGCCTGTTTTAATCGGGATCACATACTGGACCAGGCTGGATTTGGCCGAGCTGGACTGGAATGGCAGGTTTTGTTCTGTAGCATTTCTAGGTGGATTAAATCAGACTGATTCAGTGAGAGTAGTCTCAAGCAGGGGAGTTTGAATTTGACTGAAAATCTAGTTCAGCAATTTGACTTTTTTGAGTGGCGCTTTTCAGAAGTGTGGATTCTAACTGGGGGAACGTGTAGTTGGATGTAGTAGTTCAAATGTTAATTGACATCTGAATTACTGACGCAGAGTACATCAGAGCCTGTGCATTTGTGAAGGGGATCTTTATTTTCACTCCCTGTTTCCTAACTGAAGTACAGTACAGTATAAAATTTTGCAGCCTGAATGTATTGTGGGCAATGAACTGTTTGTACACGCAGCAATGGGTCTTTGATTTGTGGGCTTCAAGGATGTTAAGGATTATGCATTCCATTATTGTTAAATTTATACAGGTTTTACAGTGGAGAAAAAGTGTTTCTGTAATAAAGTAACTGCAGGTGTTTTGGAGATCCAGACACTCATTTTATATGTAAAAAACAACCTGTATTCAGTACGTGATACGATGTAAAACTGGGATACGAAGCATAGAACTGTAAAAGAAAAAAAAACACAGCACTGGATCTGGAGCAATTGGATTTGGACAACACAAACAGTACCTCCCACTGCATCTGTGCTAACTCAGCTCCAGTGACAGTGTTAAAAAAAACGCCTGGCCTGTCACTTGGCCTGTGAAAGTGAATGGCATGGATTGGAGCCCTACCCAGAGACTGTGGCAGTCCTGTCAGTCCTGTGCCAAGCTCTCTGCCCTACCCAGAATTTCTTAATCCTACGAGAAAAGACAAACTGCACCTTGAATTATCACAGGGCAGAGTGTGTATGTTCTGAAATCATCTCAGAAAAAGCTGCTAGTGTTCTTTTTTCAGTTTTAAGTTTTGTTTTAGTTTAAGAACAAGAACAGCATGGAAACATCCCTTCCTCTCCCTCCATTAGATTGCGATTTCCAGCTCATCTGAAAATTAAGCTGTTCTGTCCCTGTACTGGGCATCAGCAACTACAGTATGTCACCAGCTTGGTACACACTCTGTGTTGTCTGAACAAACTGAATGCACAGAAGAGACCAATTATTAAAGCAATAAGATCCTGATTACCGCAGAGGATTTTACAAAAAAAAAAAGCAAAACTCAAAAACTAACCACAACAAAAAATATTCAAAATTGCTAGCATTTTGCACATTTTGCCATAGAGTCTGCTAGATTGATGTAAAAGATTGGTCTTAAAGTAAAGGTTCACTACAGTCTTACACAAGCTTGTGCTGTTTCCTGGGAGAAAGACAGGCCTAAGTGTTCTGTACTGAATTCAGGATTGTGTTAAATTTAATGCTATCACAGCTTGCAGCAAAACATCTTTGGGCCTTCCTGAAGATTGTACAGTAGTTTTCTCACCTTCTGTGAGTTGTAATACTGCAACTCTGAAATGAATGCTTTTAACCGGAAGAAGAAACCTAGTGTATATAAACAATACTAGTGTATTGTTTCCACCAAAGCAGCTGTCGTGTACAAATTCATACCTAGATTAAAGATTATGCACTGTATGCATGAGGACAAGGGTTATGTGCAGGGGCTTAAAAGATGCGAGAAAGCATGCTTCTTTGAAAAATAACAGCTAGTCAGAAATCAGTTCAATTTGGCAGTTTTGGTTTAATATGACAAAAATGTGATCTGAATTACAAATAGAGGCCTACGAAGGAAATCCTTCTAAATTTAACGAAACAGCCAACAGATTGGAATGGCAGAGACGAAGCCCTGACTGGTATCAGACATGAAGTTATCTTTAATGTCTGCTGAAGCAGTGCTTTCTAAATGTATTAGTGCTCTTTTAAGGTGAGGCATTAGGGAGATTGGAGGGGCCTAACTGAAGTCATTTATTCTCTCTTTGTTCCTTGTGCATATAGAGCTGAACACTGAGCCTAGAACTTGAATTAACCCTTCCTGATTTGTGGATTTTAAAAAAAAGATTTGGTTTCCTTTGTCTCTGTTTAAGCATCTCCTGATTTTTCCAAGTGCAATATGTATACTATAAATGTCAAGAGTTGATCTCTAGCTTGTGCATATCATGTGAGCTATTCTCACTGCAATAAGTGTGCACTCCTAAAAATACTACTCAGAAAGTCTGCAGGAGACACCATTTTTACCTTCATCGGTTTAACATCCCTTTAGGAACCCGTGAACTCTAATCAGCCTGCCGTTTTGTGTAAGCACAGCTGTTGCATTGACCAGACAGCAGCTGTGTTTCTGTGGCGCACAGCAACAAAACAGACGAAACCACAGGTATTTCCTCACTGGATGCCTGGTTTGTGGTTCACAGTTCGGAGGAATGTTCCACTCAGGACCAAGTTTCATCAACCTGATTGCTGCTGTCCATCTGCAACAGTTGGGTTGTACAGTATAAGAAGGTATTGGACTGGCTGGTGAGGACTGGTCCACAGTGGAACAGCTTTCCATCCAGGAGTAGTCTTGTGCGCTGTCAGGCTAAGCCAGTGCAGTGCTTAACAACCCTGGTTCCAGAGGAGCTGGATTCCATTCCAGCTGAGCTCTACATCTCCAGCGCTCATTGATGTCTTAAATGATCCGCTTGCTTGTTTCGATTTTGTTTGACTTGTTTCTTCGCTCAGTCCTGAGTGTCAAAAATACCCCCACCTTAAGAACACTGTTGCCAACAACAGAGTGCTTTTTCGTCCACTTGCCTTCTGTTATTTCTGAATAAACAGCTCTTACTAGTAGGTGAATTGATGATGAGCAAACACAGCTTGTAGTTACACTATCAGACAAACCTACATAGGTGTGGTATTGTCTGGCACGCCCACAGTGGGTGTGCCTTGTAACAGACACGCCCACAAAGGGTGTGGCATCACATCAGACCTGCCCACAGTGTGTTTTTTTTCCTTCTGCAGAGGACAAAATTCCAATTGAATTTCGAAGAGCTGAAAGCTAATTTATGAATATGCTGCTTGTAGAAAACTGAAATCAGTGAGCCTGTGTTTAAGCACTCAGCTGGAAGAAAAACAAGACGCCACTGTTTCTCCAGGACCAGGACTGGGAACCACAAGGACGGCCTCATCCCACTGTCAGCTCACATGCTTTCCCTCATAGATTCCTTGTATAATGTTTTTAATTTGGGGATGGGGGGAAAAAAACGGATTTTAATTTTGCTCTTGAACGTCGGCTGGTCGTAATTAGAGTACAGAGAAATGATCCAGCTGGAACAGGCTTAGGACAGGGCACTGCGGTTCGCTGTAATGTTTATGATTTAATGGAAGCCAGCCTCACAAATGAAACATTACAATGCTTAATACAGAAGATGCGCCCTCTTAAAAGGCCTGCACCCAGAGGGAAGTGAAGCCAGTGTTTTTGCCTGTTGAAAAGCAGGCAGCAAAGAGGTGACATTCAAATTGGGTTTCTACTTCTGAGCTCTGTGTCAATTCTTGCAGTGGCTTCTAGCTATGTTGTAGAATTGAATCTTTTTCATTGGAATAAGTTTATTTTTATTCTTGACTTTCCATGGAGCACAACGATCCTCGTTTGAACTCCTGAAGTTTGAACCACATCTGTGAAATGTTCAAAAACAAAGTGTTAACCACATTCTTTTTCTAAGTTGGTAATAATTAGCAATATTCAGCACACCAGTAGGGAAGATCTAACTCTTCAGTGACTCATAAGCCGTAAATGCACACTAAGATTTGTACTGGAGGAAATTTCATTATGTACTTTACTGCATACTTGTAGATTTGAATAGGCTCCTGCCTTTCCTTTGTTAGGGTTAATGCAGATTAGTCTCCACCTCAGCAGAAACGGTATGCTCTTGTCATTTCATATCATCTGCAAAATATTGTGGCTACATTTCAATCTTCAGACTTTAGGATTTTCATTGACTCCCATCTGCAATGGAGTGGGGGGTGCTGCATTATGTTTTCAGCTGGCACCTTATCAACTTTGGCCTGGTTGTCCCCACAGTTGTGCCAATCTTACACAAAGAGTAGCGGGTGTAGGGAACAGGTTTTCAAGCCAAGTGTTTGAGGCCCAAACTCTGGACTTCTTTAAAAAAGAACATCTGGAAATTAAGATGAGCCAATCAAAACTGATTCCCACCCAGTCTCTCTGAGTAGTATTTGGTTCCATCCTAGTGTGTGGTGAGTAAGAGGAGGACTTCAATGCTTTAAAATGTTGTGATGCTCTGCTTTATAAACCTATAATGGGAAAGGCTTTGTATTTTTCTGGATCTGTTACTATTCTAATGACTTATATTGGGTCATTTTTATGGGGAATTGTAAAAGGACTAAGGGGGGGTATGGGATAGAGCTTAAAAGAACATACTGAAAAAAAATGTCATAATGACCTACAATAACCACTGCAGCTATAATCTCAATATATCTGTAGCCTTTTTGTGTTGAATGTATGTAAATGATGATGAACACCAGAAAAATAACTCATGCACTGTAATTCAAAAACAAGCAACGAAAAAAAACAAACAGAAATTGATTAAAAGGGAAACCATATTAATTAGCGTGTGTCTGTAGTGTGTGAGCAGCCTGTTGCTCTGGCCCTGTGGGTGAATATTGGGATCAGACTCAGCTGGGGCAAGAGTGATCTGCACTGGTACTGCATGTCCCCACAGTCATCTGGGGTTGTTGCACTCCTCCAACCCCACAGTCCACTGCTTGTCGCTCGAGAGCCTGGAGGGGGGGGGCACTGTCTTCTGGTTTTCAGTCCATGTGACTTGATCATGTCAGCTCTACCCTTGGTCACTTGGTCTATCCCCATTTCCAGGTCTATAACAATAACACTTAAACGATGCCTATTAAACCCGGTGGACAGGTGGACCCTCCAGAACCAGGAAGGGATATCACTGTCATCGTCCTTCAGTACGATGGTTAACTTAATTACAAAGCACTTATTTTCTTCTTCTGTCCCAACAGCAATTTCCCAGGGGTTCTCTGAGTATTTCCACTGCTCTCTAAATGCCTTTCGACAGCTGAGATCCATGCACCCACAGCCACACTGGAGAATTCATTCAGGTGTGCATTGGTGTGTTCTCCAGCAAGCATGTATATTAATTGGATGATATTTACTTGACTGTCTTACTCTGAAATGGGGTAGTGCAGTTGGTACTGTAGGTCTCTGGGCTCATGGCTGCTTGGCCGTGGGTTCGAGTCCACAGTGCAGACACTGCTGTTGTAGCTTGAGCAACACGCTTTACCCCAGTTGCGGCAACCCACCCAGCTGATTGAATGGGGAGCAGTGTTTCCTGGGGGTCACCATGGGGTGACTCTCGAGCGCCCCTTTTGCATTACACTGTGGAAATCGAGCTAGGTAGACGGCCCATCAGTCCACAACTTATCAAGATATGTTGCACTCCTACAACCCTCTTTTAAGGCTTGGAAACTTGCTAAGTGATACCAGTGGAAGACAGAGCAGCAGTGGGAGTACTGGGAGGCTGTGATGAAGGAGGAACAAAATGATCTTTGATGCTGGCTTAACACTGCAGCTGTCTGTCCAAACCCATGGCTAGCCCAATAGGGAGTGAGCACGTTCGCTATTCAGTAATTTGCTATCCCCCGATAGAAACTGAGGGTCTTTCCCAGTGATATTAAAGCAGCAGGTGAGAACTCATTATATACTATCAGGCCTCAAAAGCAAACCAGCTCTTAGCTGTATCGTTAAGGACACTAGTCCTCCTGGTTCCTCACTTTTCTCCCCCTTCCCTCTGGTCAGCGTTAGAGGAGCATAAAGGCACGAACTTCTAGACTCAGAGAGAGTTTCTTCCCACAAGCTGTCAGATTACTGAACTCTACCCCCACCACTGACTCACACTGATGTTTTTTTTGTCTCTTAAGATGTATGTTATTTAACTTGTTGTTGTTGCTGCAGCTTTTCTGTGTTTTTGGTATTTCCTTGATGTCTTTGTTTAGGAGCATACATGCAAATAAGCATTTAAGTACACTTGTGCATATGACAATAAACTCTACTCTACTTAGTTCCTCTGATGTGGCCAGCAGCATTTCCACCTTGTTGCTACTATATGTACTGCTGGGGGACAGTAGGTATAGACCTACAGACCTGTCTGTGGCAGGTCAGTAGGTGGTACTCCTACCTCTGTGCCAGAATTTCCAATCCAGTGTCCCAGTACGGCACACAGTGCTGTAGGAGGTTCCATCTTTCAGCACAGATATTAAACTGTGGAGGTGTGGAGGCATGAAAATTAGTGCTGCTGCTCCTCAGCCCTCGAGGTTTGAGTTTGATCCCATCCTGGGCTGCCATCTGTGTGGAGCTGACATGTTCTTCTCCTAATTATTCACCCTGGATAAGGGCTTCTGGCTAAGAAAAGCAAACAAGGAAAAGATGTCCTGACAGCTGGGGCCATTAAAGATCCTGTCTGTAGGACTGTCTGTAGGGTCTGTTAACCCTGGAGTCCAGTGCCTCCTGGCTCAGTTCACCTCTGAGCTTGAACAGTCTGTGCAGTGGGGCTGCTTCTGGGAAATGGTGAATCCCTGGTGACTGCAGCTAATGCTAAAATGTTTTTAAATGGGCACTGTTGAATGACATTTCAAAACAGTTGTTAATCTTACGAGACTGAGGAAAAAACTCTCCATGTTATTTTCATGGGCTCCTACAAGTAGGTCTTGAATAAATATCATGATGATTTTGTTCTTTTTTTCCAGTCCTTGCAGCAATTAGAGTATCCTCCAAATCTCAGGACTGTATCCTCAAAATTTAGATCGTTTCAGTGGAGGACAAACACCTTACCGAGCTCAACAGCCCTGTGATTAGTATAAAAAAAAAAAGTCATATTCGTTTGTAGCATGTCAAGATTAAGTGGCTGTTCGCCAGAAATTGCATTCTGCAAAATTGAATCTCATTCACTAAGACTTTGTTTCCCCTCTGCAGAAGGAGAGGTCAATAGCAACATGCTAACATGATTCGAGATCAAGCAGAAAGTTATTATTCACATCGATACATGGGAGTAGTCAGCAAGACACTTGTCTTTGAAGGTCAGCTCTAGGTAGGTCTTCTGTAACAGTGATACTGCTGATCCAGCTTTGACAGGTAGTGGAAGATCCTCAATAGCGAAAGACCAGGACACAGGGGATAATTAGATAAATTAAGCCTCTAATTGATTTAATTTAGTCATGAAACCCTCAAGCAGAATAATAACCAGTAGACCCTATAGATCAGTGGGTTAAACTAAATTCCTGGAGAGCTTTAATGAAGTAAATGCTCTCCTCATTACAGTGATCAACAGTAAAATACCTTAAGAAAACTTCCTCTATATATCGAAGATAGGTTAATCATGTTAATGGACTGCACACTGTAATGCAAACCAGAGGACAGTAGCTCCTCCAGGAGCCTGAAACCCCTGTTAGAGGTCTTTCCGATTGAAACTGAGGAGTTTAGTCAGATTGAGAACAGGCCAGGACTTGTAACTGCTGTGCAGAATCCACATAAGAGTCTTGCCTGCTGTTATCAAGTATATGTTGTAAGATGCAAATAGTTTTTCTTCTGTAATGCAATCCCCACAGTGTGCCCCAGTGGACATGTACTGTACATACCGTTATACCTAGTGCCTGGGGTTCACTCAAAATGCCATATTGTCTGAAAATATTTTCATTTCTGGAAATCGGTATTCCTGTACAGAAAACCCATCCATTATTTTATTATTGCAAACCTATACTGAGATTTGTTTTGGATAGAATTAATAACGATCTTAAGAATTTATTGTAATAAGTAACCAGGAGAAAACAAACTTGCAAAATGGTTTAACTAGTCATATGAGCTGGTGGTATGTGGTTAATTATTCTACTTTCAAACCTCAGCACAAAGCCAGGTAATATACCTTCTGAGCTCTGTACTCTGTGCTTGGGCACACAACTACCAACCTCCTGTGCTGCCGTAAATGTGACATAGCAATAGGGGGGCATCCTGCATCTCCTTCCTGGTTTCCGTAGATATCAGTGCAGATACAGCAGAGGTCAGGAGCAGGTGATGATCTTTAAATCCAGCTCAGGCCGGGTCTTGAAAATGTGCACACCTGTGCCAGAAATCGAGCAAGAGAGACCTGGGCAACAGCGATGGAGTTCTGTAAAGAAAAATCCCAGATATCATGTTAAGGAGTGCCGCAAAGCCTGTGTATTTGAAAACATGCCTCTCTCTCCTGGTTGGCACAAGAAGAGAAACAATCTTCGCTGTAAATACTACCCGTGTCATTTCCATTAATTCCTCCCTAGGACAATTTCTGTGACTGGTCTCTCGCTTTCATGTTGGGAGGGCTATCTGCAAGGGGATCCCCTGAATTTTGTGCAACGTCATGTAGACTGCTTCTTTCGCTCTGCTAAACAAAGTGGGCAGGAGGGGGACCCACGAGGAAACAGCACATGTCAGCAGCTACTCACAAGTAGGAAGGCTTCAGGTCCCAGGGACAAATTAGATCGGTGCTTGGTGGCGAATGTTAAGGGAGGTCGGGAGTATCAATTTCGGGGTGTGTGTGGGGGGGGGAACCCCTCAAATATGAGTAGAAGCTTCAGATCCTGCGCCGTCTGCACTGATGTCCAGCTCCATCTCAGCCACGCTCATCCACGGGGCAGCAGAACACACCACCCCCGTCCACCAATCAACAGCGCAGTTCTCGGAGGAAGGGCAGATACCGTTGCACAATAAAACATGACAGCATTGACATACTAACTGGTGTCGCTCGTTCTTTTGCCCGGCTCCAATCCCCTCACTCATTTCAACATAGATCGGCCCAACCCAACCATCCAGGAGTAGCTGAGGCTGGGAAATGAGGACTAAATTAACTTCATTTTTAAAGAAAAGTCAAGGCCTTTTCCTTGCCTGTGAAGTCTAAGTAATTGAAAATTACAAAATGAATCAATACACAGTAGTAATGTTCTAAAAGTACTAAATATATCTGATGCTGGACTAAGCATATGGGTGGATATTTACAGGATATACATTTCTTTACGATTTATCGTAGTACAAGGCAATGCTTGTAGATGTTACCTTTTGCACTCAGGCTAGCTAACCCACCTTCCAGCTGAGATGAGCTGTGCACAGCCCCCCCTCTGCAGACAGGACTGTCTCTAGGAGCTCCTCTGCAGACAGCAGCCTCGCTGCATCAGTGATGAGGCCTCTGTGTGCACAAGCAGCCCAGCAGTGCGAGGCTGAGACAAGGTCAGCACAAGGACAGCTCCCTCTCATCCAGACAGGAGAGGGGGGAATACAGCCCTTCCTCAGGGCCTAATGATATAATATTATATATTATAAAATACTATTAGAATATAGTACTGAGCCTTCCTCTGCATTGAGGCAGGGTAGCAGGATAAAAATATTTACAAGCTTCCTTTTGTATTCCTAATGATTTTTTGTTTTATTTCTGGCTTTTTTGGAGATGAGAGCTTTCTAACCTTTGCACTTATGAAATATCGGGGCTGTAGTTCTTGACCAAGGTCTGGGGGCTCCCCAGAAACACAGGAATTGTTTCATGCTCAGATCTTGCAGTTTGTAAAATGAATACTCTTTCACAGTTGATGCCCCCTGACATCAAGAGCTTGCTAAAGATTAGTCTTTTTACTTTTAATCAGTCACGTTGTCATAATTATATAATTGGTGGTGTGTATTGGGGTACCTTTATCGCAAATTATATCACATAATGGAGGGTACCTCAGCCAGAGAAGGTTAAGAACCTTCCTTAAACTCCTGTTCTACATAAAATAAAATGGCAGAAACCGATCTCGGCCTGTTTACCCCAAAAAACAGAGTCAAATAATCAGTACTGAGCCTCCCTTGTAGGACGCATTAGAGTAAATCCAGGTGTGCATTCGTCAACCAGCAAATCCATTTCTGTCTGGCCAGGACAAGATCCTCAGAATGGGGTAAGATGGGCTGACTGGCCTCATCTTGTTCGTAAAACCTGTCTCATGTTCTTACTTTCCTTGGCAGAACCCCTTACCTGAAGGAGAAAAGTCGGAAATGAATTTTGCATACGCCAGAGTGTTAAGGACGCGGTTGGCTGTAGGATCCCGCGTGTCCAGAGCGCTGGGGGAGATGTCCAGTGTTACTGACCCCTCGCTGATCCCTTTACGTCAAACATACCTGGCAGCTTTGACATTCATTGAGCCTATGAATCACAGTCCTGTGGGGGGGGGGCTGTATTTCAGCCCTCCCCTCCCTCAGTACTCATGGCCTTGGCGTCACATCACTGGCTGTTAATCTTCCCCAGAAATTGCCCCCTGTGTGACGTTAAGCCACCCCCACTGCTCAGACCACCCCCCCCCTCTTCCTCTGCCCCAGGGATGAATGAAAATTCTGCTGGCAAATTAAGGAGAGGAAAACAGGTTTGCGGCTCCGTGTTCGACACTTTTGAAGAAATGTCAGCCTTTTATGGGTTGTTTCAGAGCCCAGGGAGCTGCAGAAACGGCCCAGGCCCACCCTCCCTCGGGGCGAGTCGGGGAACTCGAATCCGCAGCCAGCCCTCACTGACGCCACGGAGATCTTCACCTCCTGCGTCACAGACTGAGGCACGAGAAGGCTGCAATAAATCTGCAGGACGCTGAAAGCACATTGCTGTAACCATCTGAGGGGTGCCCTTGAGCACTGTCAGGGAAATAGCATGCCCTCTTTATAGATTTCAATTACCCTGCTGACAGCTCAGGTGACTTTCTGCCCAGTTGAAGAACTGATTCTCCACCAGCCAACAGCCCACCTTCTCCTATCTAACCTTTTAGAATGTATTTCCATAGATACGCATCTCCATACTGGGTTTATTTTCTAAATCATCACACGCGCTCCCCTGCTTTTTTTGTAAGCTTCAGTATGAAGAACAAAAAAAAAAAGGGTTTATGGTAGCAGGCTCATTAGACAAAGCACGTCTTAATAAAAGAGACAATCGCGCGCTTGGACAGGTTTGTACAAGCTCATCTGGGGCCGGGGGTCATTTTAACACCGCAGTCATTTTCAAGAAGGATCTACCCATGAAAAATTACATGAAAGCAAACTGAAATATGATAAGGGCTTCAATTATTTAATATCAGTGAAAGGCTGAAAGCAGCTCGCACTGGGGAAAAGATTTGGCTCGAGCACTGTACTGAGAGCGGGGACCTGCCGGGAGAGGCTGTCTGAAATAATTCCGTCGTTCCCACCCTCCCTTGGCCATCCATAACGATCCTTTTAGGACCCATTAAGAATCCACTACTCCCAGCTGTGCGGGATTCCATGCTGCAGGGGCCCGATTATTAACCATTGTTTTCCACAGCACCACACCATCCCGCTTTCCTCCTCTCATCCAGGTGCATTAACCCCTCTTCCCTGCCTTTCCTCCTTCCTTGTAATACTTCAAAGTCTTTCCAGGATCCAAAGGCTCCAATAAAATCTCCCTAATAGAAGGATTGTACAGCTACTCCAGTCCCCCCACAGCCCTGTGATTGAAGTTGATCGTTATTGTCAATTCAGTAGGGGATCTGGGTCAATGAATTTATCAGGGCCCGGGACAGAAGCGGACGGGCCTTTCCTTGTGTTCCCCCGTCAGACGCAGCTGACCGGCTCCTGTCTGGGCCACGTCCACAGCGCCACTGGACGCGCAGGCAGCTCCCCGAGACCTCTCTCCCGGGCGCAGGCGATAATCTCTCCTGCAAAAATTTTTAACAAGGAGCAAAAGCACCACCACCTCTCTCGGAGCGGACGCTGGGCTGTCCGCACCCTCCCTGGCCCCCATCAATAGCTTTCATGCCCACAGCGGAGCGATTTCGTTGGGATGGGAAGCTCTTGGAAAGCCCTTCCGCTGCTGCTGGGAATTTGCAAGCATGAGGACAGCAGGGTTTGTTTCAAGGTGGGTCTTTACTAAACTCAAGAGGATCTGGCCGGTGCTGTAAAAGTTGGATCGGGTTTTGACGTTGTGACTTTGGAATCACAAGAGCTCCTGCAAGGCGACCTACAGGATGTTAATTCCCTTTACACTACTCGACACTACTTATCGCATCCTGTCATCAGCCCTCAGATTTAGGTGTGTTTTTGGCTCTGGTGGGACAGCATGCACAGGCTGAGCGCAGTACCTGTTAACTCATGCACAGGCCGAGCGCAGCACCTGTTAACTCATGCACAGACTGCAGCAAGATCAGCGTCTCGAAGAACCAGAATTACAGACGTGCTGAAAAGTGGTTTTTACGAATACTTTAATACAAAACCTCAAGAGAGACTCCTCCAGGAAGGGGCCATTGCCTGGTTTGTCATTTTTGTAACCTGACAGCAGCTCAGCGCAATTCAGCTTTATGCCCCGATATCACATTTTGAAGTTCACATTGGCACCGGGAGTTTCCTCAGATATGCCCTCAAGACGGCGGGGCTCGGAAATCCAGTTAAGGCTGAAACACGCGGCCGTTTGTGACAGAAAAGGACAAGGCTGAACGGCGGGCCCGCTCGGCTCTGGGTTCAGCGCGGTGGCCTTTCGACCGTACGTCGGGCTGGGATCTCTGGAGGCTGCTGGTTCCGAGGGTGTAGTGAGGTTGGGGGGGGGGGGAAACTGTTTTAAAGAGCTGAGCCAGTTCTCCCTGCGTCCCAGCCACACCCAGCTGTGAGACCGCTCTCTGTGGCTGTGTGGCCAGCCCAAGTTAAAGTCCTGCTTCATGCTCGTGAGGCCGAAGCAAAGAATCCTGGGAGCACGCAACGGATCACTCTCCCCCAGTGCAGCGCTGACTTGTGGGGGGAGGGAGCTGCTCGCTGTAGACTGATGGCCCCCCCTCTCCTCGAACCCGTGCTGGTCTCAGTCGCCCCCTACAGGAGGGATGAAGGAATTCGGGCTGGGCGAGGGGTTCAGTGCGAAACCGTTGTGCCTCGTGCTGTCCTGGCTCGGTCTCGGTCTCCTGTTCTTGGCGCGTTCCTCTGGCTCAGCAGCGGCACCTGTCCAGTGAGAGTGGGGTCACGTCAAAGGGGATCAAGGCGGAAGCTCCCATCTTCCCGTTTCCTCCTGGTTTCGGTCAGCGCTGCAGCCAAAGCGAAACGGACGACTGGGTCTCGTCTCGTCAGCCTCTCCCAGTCAGCACCTGTTTTTCCTCCTCCCAGCCGGATTCCCATCAGCAGCCTCGGCTCAGCTGAAGAAATACATAGATTCCTTCACCCTCTGCAGATCGAAATCCCCTAAGAGGAGAGGACAGAGACAGATAGACCGCAATTAGATGAGCCTGCCCGCTGAGATTCCTCGTTTTTTCTTTCAGGCTGCGGGAGTCTCTGGGCCGGACCGCGGCTCGTTACAGGAAACAGAACGACGGGGGGTGGGGGGGGGACCCGAGTCCGATTCCGAATATAAAAGCAAGACGGACAGGAATTTTTTGTCTGCTAACACTGGGGGCAGGAGGCCCAAGCTGTCAACTACAACAGACTGCAAACTAGGACTGATTTCTGCACAAGAATCACATAAAAAGGTGCAGGCAGCTGTGCCACACCTTGTTGGGAGCAGATAAATAATCGCCCATTGCCGTGAGCTTTCATCTCTCAGATCGCCTATGTGATGAGCAAAGGAGCTTGAGGCTCCTGGTCGTCGGGGACCGGCAGGTAGAGACCATGGTTCACAAACAGACCATTGTCGGACTTAAACGCCGAGCCAGAGGGATATTTTTAACCAGCAGCCTGCAGATCACAGATTCCAGTAATGCATATCAATGACTCCGGCTCTGTGAGTAAGCACAGCCACCTGCCTGAAACAATGCAGCTCAGCTATGATGATCAGTGACTAATTCAGATTGCATTTCCATACCGGCTGCGACGTCGCAATCAAAAAACACAACCCTGACTCCTTTTTCAGGTGATAGCAAGTCAGACGTCTTATAGAAAGAACAATGCTGTGGTGGAGAATATATTTTGGATCTCAGATTTAGTTCATACATTCATAAAAAGGTATTTGTATTCACGGGAGCTTGCTGAAGGTTGTTAACTTAGGATGCACCTAAATTCAAGGCATAATAGATTAGAATCAGAATGTATATGATAAAAGCACAGTCAGGCACTATTTATACTGTGCTCCACGTAGAGATAATGAAACAATACAAAAAGGTTTGTTTTGAAGAGACACAATACCATGTACAGTTATGCTTTCAAAGATATTATTAAAAAATACACTGCCCACTTTTTGCATGACCTGCGACAAGATCACAGAACTGATAGGAGAAATTGTGCTCCTACAGGGCCTGCACGCCCATGCTACTGTATTTGCTGCTTTTCAAGTGACATTCAATATGTTATTAACCAAACTATTTTCAGCTTTGGGAAATGCCCCACCCATCACAATTTCAGAAAAGGTGCGTGCTCACCTGACATCATCAGCAATGCGTTTGCACTGACCCTAACACGCCTCACCCCTTCAGAAACCAATACTAACACATTGTGAGTGCCTGGTAGTGGGATAGAGACAAAGCAATGGTGAGGATCTTGGGAACATCCCCCAATCCCTTCCTGTACCCTGTCCTAGTTTCTTACCATTACTAATTTATGGGGCTGACAATTTTATCCAAAGCGGCTTACATCTGCACAACAGGGAGCAATCTGCATAGGCTTTAGTGGTTCAACAGCAGTGTCTCCAGCTGGGACTGGAACCCACAAGCTTCCAGCTACCAGCCCAGAGTCCTGACCGCTGCTCCAAACTCCACACTGCCGCCTGTGTGCATGGGTTTGGTAATGCACTGCCTTCGACAGTGCGATGCCAGGCTTGGCCCTCCTCCATCACTGTCTCCATTTGCTTTATGAATCAACCACTCTGCCACTCTGGGACAGCTCAGAGCTCTATAGAGACGATTAAGGGCTTGGAGAGTGCTTTCCTAGACACAGTGCATTCATCACACATCATTTCAATTCAGCTTCAGAAAGGCTCACGAGGGTACAAATTGTTCCAGAATGCCTTATTAGTTTTCTTAACCCTGGACTGATGTATGACTTTTTTCTTCCTGCGTTATTAAGACTTTGCCGCAGTGAGAGACCGAGAGATGTCCCCCTGAGTCTTGGTCAGAGCGATCAGAACCTCAGCTGTTTTAACAAGGTTGCTGCCTCAATCTTCCCCTGGCAAATTCCAAGCAGAAAACATCTGATCGCTCTCCCGAATCGGCACAAATCCCAGTATCCAGGAAGTGCTCTTCTCCATGCAATGGGTAACTAAGCTCTTCTGAGCTCATATACTGCTGCTGCCGGCTCAAGAGAGTGGTCATAAAAAGACCGCAAGAACACACAACAGGAAAACGACTTGGCTGTTTCAAATACAACTGAAGCATGATCAACAGTGAAAAGCCCAGGTCTTGTAGTGCAAGTGCAATCACTTACTGCCCCTTGTGTGTGATGGTACAAGAGTTACAAGTGTTCAGATAACAGCACCCCCTTCTGGTAGAGGGTTGAAGTCCTGGACAGTGCAAAAAAAGTCTAACTAAAGCACAAAAACAGGCTCACCTGTCTGGGGCACTTTTGAAAGCAGCTGTAACATTCTCCTGTACTCCAGAAACCTTTTGCTTCTGCAATCAGCACTGGAAGAGAGAGAAAGGAGAGAAAGGAGAGAGAGAGAGAGAGATGGAAGAACATCACCGCAGGCAGCCAATTTCATCTGGACAGACATTCTAGGAGAATTTGTGCATTGCACTCAACCTGCGGGCTCCACAAACAGGAAGCCAGCACTTTCCAGGCTGTACGCTGAGCCAAGTGGGATTCAGAAACTGCTTCGTGTTTCCAATTTATTTCTCGTCTGAATGGTGTTTGACCCCCCCTTGACCTTTTCTTTTCTATGGAAACCACAACAACCCAGCAGAGGCAGACCAAACTGGAAACGGAGTGGATTTTCGTTTTTGACGGACAGTAAAATTTTTCTGAAGCTACAGATGAGCAGGTGCCTTAATTAACCTGTGTGATTAATGACAAACAAGAATAATGCAGGAGTAATGGCTACAGCTGGATTGGACTCTGTGGGGAGGCCCACAGTGAGTGTGCTGATCTTAGCGGGGGTTTAATATGGTGTGTGTGCAGTGGAGACTCACGGCAGGTCACTGCTGTACTTCTGCAGCAGGAAGGTGGACAGCTCCTGGAGAATGGGCTGGCTGTGCAGAGTCACAAACTGCTCCCTGCAAATCTGTACAAACAACACACAGCTCTTAGCAACTCATGCAATAGATTACACCTCACACACCTGCATTAACAACACACACACACAAGAAATAACACCTCACACACCAGCACAATCAACACTCAACTCACACTGCACTACAAACAACACTTATTGTACTTGCATAATCAATACACAACACTCAGCAAACACTGCACAGCAGACGACACCTATTGCAGCAGCACTACACTACAGACCTTGTCTATCACACCTGTGCAATCAACACACAACACTCAGCTCACACTGCACTACAAACAACACCTATTGTACTTGCATAATCAATACACAACACTCAGCACACACTGCACTGCAGACGACACCTATTGCAGCAGCACAATCAACACAACACTCAGCTCACACTACACTACAGACCTCGTCTATCACACCAGTGCAATCAACGCACAGCACACACTGCACTGCAGACAACACCTAAAGAACCTGCACAATCAACACACAACATTCAGCACACGCTGCACTTCAAACAACTGCCAACATGTCAAACGAAATATCTGAAAACACTTCAAATCACTGAATCCAACTCATCCAAAGTCGCTTCGGCAATCTTCAGAATCAGAATGCTCTGTCAAGTTATAGCAAACCTCTCCAGGCATTTTCCTATAATTGCCTTATCCTGTTCCCTTCCTTGACAGCTCCGCCTGCACTCCAGCAAGGAGTTTTCACAAGCGGCTTGTGATAAGACAGCAAAAGCTACTGTAGGTCCACGGACCAGGTGTTAAATGGTTTCAATTCTTCTGCTGGGCTGAGCAATTTCAAGTACAAACCCAGGGACTAGGCCGCAGGGCAGAAACACATGCTCTCTCTGCCGTTTTCCCACAGAATGCGTCATAAGATTGCATCCATGCTTCTCCATGATCCACTGTTCTTCACTAAACCCCACCTGTTTTAATCAGGTTTATATAACTCTACAGACAGGGGGTGCTCTTTCCCCTGCAGGGAAGGGTGTGTTCAAAGAAGGCTTTTGATGGAAATATGAAACTCAAGTCAAGTCCGGCTTCCAAACACTTTGACATTTTCTTTTGATTACCTACAGTCAGTAGCTTATTAAATGACCTACTAGTTCAGTAGTTTTAACAGCTAAAGTACTAAAATGAATGAAAAAACCTCAGCGGAAGTCACATTATGTCCACTGCAGCCATGGAAGAGCTGTTTGAGGCTGCTTGCTCCTCTCCTGGCTCTTCACAGGTCACTGACAAGGTCACAGCTTTTTAGAGTCTGGCAGATGATGCTGCCGAGACGAGGCCTGATATGATTCTGACCACATTGTACAGTTAAAAAGATTAAAACAAATGGATCAAGGTCTGGTTCCTCTCAGAGCTGTCTCGTACAGCCAGCGATGCAGATGAATCGCTGCCCTCGAAGGGCCTGAGCTTCTCATTACCTTATTCATGACGTCCACTGTGACGGCGTGGGTCCAGAAGCAGTCGTGGACGGAGACGAAGGTCAGCCCGGCACTGGAAGAGACCACAAGCCAAAGTGCTGACAATGGGAAACATGGGAAGGGCAGGGAGGGGTCAGCTGTCCCTCTGTCAGTGGCCGGAGCATGCGGGCAGGTGGAGATCCCGCTTGGCTAACTACTCAACAGGAGTAACAGCTCTTCCCGAAATGCTCACCAGCTCTTACTGGTCTCCCATCAAGCATTTCCCCTCCGGTTCCCAGCAAAGCAGGCCTGATGAGCCACAGATCACAATCAAACACGCTTATTTAAGAGAAAAAGACCGTGGCACTGTATTTCCACTGACATCCCACCAAATGGGGAAGCACATGAACAGGCAAACACAATGTTAGGCTATACAGTCCAATGCCCTTCATAACGAATGCTGGGCACAAAAAGTATTTGGGCTCCCCCTTTGATTCAAGGTAAAGACAGGAAGCTGTAGATGGCGATGCAAACGGCATGGGCACCCGTGGGTGCCCATGGGTGATAAGTGTGGCAGCCCACCTGTAGCAGTGCAGCGCAGTCAGCATCATGTGTGTGGAGTCCAGGGAGTGGATGAAGTTGGGTGGGAAGGCATTCTTCTGCTTCACTGTGTCTGGCCTCCTGCAGAGAGACGAGCTCAGAGGTCAGAGGGGACAGAACCCAGGGCAGCTGCAAGGAGCACAAGCTACTGGTTTGCTTTTGGAATATGGGACACCACAAGCTGCACTCTTAACAAACCCAGAAGCCTCTCTCGACGATAAGACCAGTTCCCGGGGCTGTGCAGTGGTTATATTAATGAGACGGGCCTCTTCGAAAATTCGAAAATGAAAAGATTTGCTGTTCGGCTTGACGCGGATGTCACACAAATTCTATCCCGAGTTTTTTTCAGGAGAGTTATTTCTCCAAACTCCTAAGAGCATTCTGGGTCTTAACTCATATACATATCGCCGTAACAATTGGACAAGAGCTCTCGATTTCATTAAAAGGTAATCCTGTTAATAAGATGAAACTGAAGGAAACCTGCAGTTGCTGGTAAGAGACAGCGAGTGATGTAAACATGCTGTTAAGGGGGATGACGAATCTGGGGATTAAATGAAACGAGAAGATGTGTAATCTGAACTGCGAGCAAACACCTGCTCGACGCTTTTAATATTTCATCCCCTTAGTTGGATAAACATACTGGATTCTTCGCTCAATCAGAGTGTCACAGAATTAATTAAAAGGCAGCCCATCTCCAGCCAAGGAAAGTAACGTTTCAGAAACTGTGTGCTGTTCTCAACAGTCCTTCGATAGCTGGACTGTCCAGTTCTGGACAGACCCGGCGTTTTCTTTCCAGCGAGGAGATACAAACTGCTCTGTGGCCGAGACTGACTCAACTCGGCACGGCGGCACACATTCTGCCCAGGATGCCTCCTCTGTTCTCCAAAGAGCACCGCTGCCCGGCAACAGCGTTCATCCCTTAGAAACGCCTGATACCCCCCCCCCATCGCCATTCAGGCTGGAAATCTGCCTGGGAAGATACAGCACATTAAACTGGTGGTCAGGGGAGCTCTGCTCCACCACTTCATTTGTTTAGATATTCTAATTGGCCTTTTGATGCGCTAATTACTGCGCTCCTAGTGGCTGCACAGGCAGGGATGCACCCAGGCACGGAGATGCACCCCAACAAGCTTGAACTCTGGATCTGTCAAACAGCTCAAAGACGGCTAATGAAATATTGATGATCCGAGTCATTATGGTCAAGAAAGAAAGCTGTTGTGCCCCACAGTCACATGCTTTCATCACGGAACGTTGGCATTATTATTTATTTACTTATATCTAGATTTAAAACGCATTAATTCATCTCTGCATCAATGTGAAGGATGCCATTAGGATGCAGGCGGCTGTCAGTCTAGCTTACAGTCTTCAGTTCCCACAGCTCTCTTGCTGTCGGTATGATTCCGGCGATGCACTCGAAATGTGTACAGTTTAAATCTGGAGAACACATGCAAATCAACTTTTCTATTCAAGTGCCACTTAGCCTTTCAAGAGTTTTTATATTACAATAAAAGGTGCACTTCACCATGAAGAAAACAAATCTGTTTGTCTTCTGAGTCTGCACCTGCAGTGTTCCCCATTGGTTAATATTAAGACTGCAGGGCTGCGGTGTGTTCAGTAACTCAGTGTTACAGTGCCGGGCTGCAGTGTGTTCAGTAG